AACTGTAATTGTTGATAGCCAAAGACATTGAAAACCATTTATAAACATGTGAAAGCAAAACATGAAATCCCATGAGGAAAAACTCTAAAAGAGGCTAATATTTGAAGATGAGGGTCTGTAGATTTTTCGTTTTCAGAATAAGACTTATTTCTTACTCCAAAATGCTAAGTGTCTGTAAATTTGCTTCAGTGTGCTTAGCACTTATGACATATTTCTGTCCTTATGAATTCAGTGTATTTCAAAAATACTTCCATATTATTTATGATCACTCACATCACTGGTACAAAACAAGTATGCTAATAATATTACATGCCCAGTTAGGAGGCTTTAAAATGCAAATAATTAGCTGTTTGTTATGGAAAATGTGCCAAACAACAGGAGAACCACATTCAATCCACCTACCTGTATAAGAGAAAACTATTTCAGAACAATGAAGAATAGCTTAGCCTTCTTTAGACTTGGATAAAATATCAAAGAAATAACACTTGCATACAGTGAGCATGCACAGGACTAAATCATAAATAATGGATCTCTTTAGAAAAGGTGCTTTAAAAGTACAGCTAGAACATAAAGTTCATGAGACATAACATGGTGTCAGCAGTTTGTATCTGATTCTGGTACTGTCTATTGCTTAAAGATTTTGAGGACTGAAAAGAAGCAGAGCTTTAAATCATGAAAATCTGAAATGACCATCCACAGCACAAAACAAACCAGCTAAATTACCAGGGGAATATGATTAATGATAACAGCATATAAAATGAAAAGCGATGGGCAATATGAAATTCGGTAATCAGCTTCCAGAGGCCAGAGCTAGTGTTATTTTCATAAGACATACAATTATAATAATAATTTAGAGTTGGTTTTCTTTCAGCATAAAAGTCAAGAGGTAATGCACCTAGTACCACGGATATCCTGATATTGTGAGTCTCTGCTTACATATGTCCCAAATCATGAACCTTGTATTATACAGAGGGTATCTCCCTAGAACAGTTGTTCTCAAACTTTTGTACTGTTGACCCCTTTCACATAGCAACAGAGGTGAAAGTAAGCCGGTATGCCCCAGGCCCTTTAAATTGCCTCCAGAGCCCTGCTGCTGGAGCCCTGGGGTAGCGGCTGCAGGGCTCTGACGGCTATTTAAAGGGCCTGGGGCTCCCCTGCTTCTACTGCCCCAGCCCTTTAAATAGCCTCCGGATCCCCGCCGTTGCCACTCCAGGGCTCCGGGGGCTATTTAAAGGGCCGGTGCGGTAGAAGCAGGGGAGCCGCAGTCCCTTAAATAGCCCCCAGAGCTCTGGGGTAGCGGGGGCTCCAGGGGTTATTTAAAGGGCCAGGGCTCCAGCTGCCTCCGCCGCCCCGGTCCTTTAAATAGCCGCTAGAGCCCCGCCGCTCCCCCAGGGCTCCGGTGGCTAATTAAAGGACCGGGGCAGTAGAAGCAGGGGAGCCCCGGGCCCTTTAAATAGCGCTGGAGCTCCAGGGGGCTGCTGCTGCTACCCCGGGGGGGGGGAGAAGGAGGGGGGGCACTTACCTTACAGGGTGGGCTGGGGCTGGCTCTGACCCCCTCAGCCCCGCCCCTTCCACCCTAGGCCCCGCCCCTTCCAGGGGCCAGAGCTGGCCCCAGCGTACTGGTAAGTTGCTTGACTTACTTTCACCCCTGCATAGCAAGCCTCTGAGTGCGACCTCCCCTTATAAATTAAAAACACATTTTTATATATTTAACACCATTCTAAATGCTGGAGGAAAAACGTGGTTTGGGTTTGAGGCTGACAGCTCATGACCCCCTGAGGGGTCCCAACCCCCAGTTTGAGAACCCCTGGCCTAGACAGAAAGTGTGTATTTACAAAGGACCCAGTCTTCCTGTCTGAGAGGATGTGTTTGTTGAAGGGGTCCTAACATTGCATCTGAATTTGACTTAAGTGTACCTATGTTTTTTATACATTGTGTGCGCATTGTGTAGTGGTCTACTATTTTAAAAGTCAGAATTTGTATTATCTTATTGTATTGGGTGCAAGTGTGTTTATACAGTTTGACATTTAAAAAGTCAGCATTTACCCTCTGTTATCAAACCATGTCTGAGACACCACAGGTTTCCCCCTATCCTAAAGTAGGCAATCTTTGTGGTATCTCAGAACAACTGTGCGGTAAATGTTGACTTTTTAATAGCGATCACTACAAGTTTATAGGAAATCACAGATTTTACATATATCATGAACCTGATCTTCTAGAGCAGTTCTACATCTGAATGGATAATACAACTTTTAACAATCAATGCTGATGAACGTGTCACCATTTCCAAAACAATTCAGCTGACTCTGTAGAGTAGCAAAGAATTACCATACTTCTATCAGTTCTGTAATTTCAGTGCAGTGTCTATTATGTATGATATTTTTAAATGGTCCTTAAGTAGGCTCACTACTGTTGATTAGATTTTTTTCGAAAAACAGGAGTATTTCTGGTGCAGATGGCCAGGGCATGTGCTCAAAAGGAGGAAGAAAAATGAAGTACTGTGCATGTCTCTTATGAGATTTTCAGTCACAACTTTTTTTTAATCAGTGAAAACATTTTTCAGACCGGTCACAGGCACTGGTCCTCATCTAGAAAGGTACTGAGTGCATGCTAACTTCAGTGGGAGGTGCTTACCATTTTGCAGGTTTTGCACAGAACCTTGCATGATTGTGCTCTAAGTCCATGGTAAACTGTAAATTCAAGCACTATCCTCTATTTTGAATTAGCAGAAGATCAAAAAGGAGATTTTTTTTTTATAAAGGGAAAATGTACTTCCACAAGCTTACAATCGGCCAGCTTAACCAGCTTTATAGAAACTTAATAAAATTGAAATTACTGCATTGCTGAAAACAAGCATGGCAGACTTCAACTAAACAGGGAATATTTCAGAGAGAGTTGCAGTATACGAGGAAGTGAAAATAGGGGGTTAGAATGGAATGGCTTTCATCCTGCTGGATGTGTACAGAGTTGTTTTGATGTGGCCAAGCATATTGTCTGAGGAAACAGGAGCTCTACAGTTTACATTCTTCAAGATGTGAGGGAGCTACTACTGATGAACTCTAATTTTTGAAGAGTACAGCACTGAGTTTGATCCTGCGAGCTTCTGAGCACCCTCAACTACTACTGATGTCAGTGGGAGTCGTGGGTGCTTAGCAGTAGACAGTGATGACAAATGAATTTTAATTGCATTTTTAAGCAGCTATATGTATTTTCTTCTTTTGGAATCTCACAAGCAGCACACAAAAGACCAAACCTTTTGCTTTTACTTAGAAATGGATACCATGATCCGTGAGAGGACAAAACCAGAACCTCTGTCTGGATACCAGTGTACTTTGTTAGCTTTGTTAGCTTGGATAAAACCACCCTTGCTTTTGTTTTTGCAAAATCAGAACCTGACCGGGGCAGGGGCTTGAGTAAAATGGAACTGGGATCCTCAGGGCAGACTGTCCTGAGATGCTGAAAGCATCCTGCGTTGTTAGATTGTAGTGGAGTGGATTGGCCGCCCACAGACCCAGAGTGGGAGGAGCCCCTCGTTGAACCCTGGTGGGCGGAGCCATGCCACACTCAACCCTCTCACCAGAAGTCAGTGGACGGGACCGGAAGTACAAAAGGCATGCCAGAGAACTCCGTGAGGAGGCAGCTGCCGGAGGAGCCTGACACCTCCTGTGAGCTCCCGAGCTGGGAGGCCACTGCAGACCCCGAGGGAGCCGAGGACTGGCCTGGACTGCCAGGGCCACTTACAGACCCTAGCACGGAGGAGTGCAAACACGGACAGAGGCCTTCTTCCCCGACAACCAGGACGACCCTCTAAAGCCAGGTACACCCTGAGGGGGAGTTGGGAAGTGGGCCAGGGGTAGCCGACCCCTGTCTGGCTGCAAAGCTGACAGCAAGCGAGTCAACGTGTTGCGGTCAGGATCCCCGCTGACCCAGTGGCAGACCACTCTGCCGCTGCTAGGGCCCTAGGCCAGGACGCAGTGGAGTGGGTGGGCCTGCTTCCCGCCTGCCACCCCAATCTGTGGGTGGCAGTCTCCCCCTCTCTTAGGCAAGAAGCCAGTGCTTGTCAGCCCTCCGCCAGAGCTAGGAGGCCCGACTGTTTGCTGCTCAGCCTGAGTGCAGGCCTGAGCCCTTTAGACTCTCTACTGCCCTGCCCCGATCAAGGGCCTGGGCTAACTGGCTGTTCGCTGCCCGGCTTGAGTACAGGCCTGAGCCCAAGACTCTTTGCTGCCCCGACCAGGAGCTGGGGCTCCGTGACTGTGTTTGTTGTTTGGCCCTGATCACAGGCCCGAGCTCATGTCTCCCATTGCCCCACTGATTCCCCACATCAGGCGACCCCCGGAGACATAGTGGGGTGGACTGGCTGCCCACAGACCAGGAGGGGGAGGAGCCACTCCCTCCAACGGACTACATAGATAAATAATCTGTGATGGCTTTTTTGGGGGGTAGGGTGGGGGTAAATCAAATGATCAAGAGCCATCAGGTCTAGAAACTCCTATATCATTTTGAAAAACCCAGCAGTGTCTTCTAGCAATGATGGTTCATGGGGTATCAGACCTGAAAATTGCAATTTAGGCTGAAAAAAAGGCACACAGTGAAAACAACGTTCTTAATTTGCCTTTCCATGTAAAGATATACTTTTGTTGGTGTTCCCTTGGGATAGTGCTGTACACAAATCTTACTCCAAAGTAATATTGGTGAGCCCATTTAGGAAGGAAAGTTTAAGAGTTGGGAAAATATGACATCTCCATTTGGTTTTGTTTGTGTAGTGTGTGTACATTTCCTCAGACACTAGAAAACATTGCTCTATGATATGGTTACATTTTCCAGCAAGCTGTTCCCCGAACTTGGTTATGGGGTCTTGCATTATGACTTAAACATTGTTAAATACACTACATCCTCAAATGCAAACAACCTGAACTGGATACCTAAATCATAGGTAAAGTGGTTTTACTTAGGTTTTTTAACAAGGAAATGCTTACATTGACAAGTATGGCATATCTTACCTCAAAAATATAATCCTTTCCATCCTTGCCATGTACAGCTTTGACAGCACAGATATCCAAACCCCCAAACATTTCAGAACAGGTGTCAACCCAGAGCTTGTACCTGTTGTGTAGAAAAAATAGTTCCCATCAGTATAAAATCAAGTCAAGTCCTCATTATTATATAGGCCTAATTTGATAGTTTGTTAGCTGGACAGTTGTTTTAAATTCACTATTCTCCTGAGTCTGTCAGCTTTACTGAATTTTCATTTACTATAGTAGTTTCTTCGAAATACTAGCCCAGTGTCCACTAGGCACAGTGTTGTGGTGTCACAGAGGAGCTAGCTCCCTATTTCTTGAGCTGGTGATATACTGGCCCTAGCTCCAGCATAGTTTAGAATACCCTTAAGGCTGATCGAAACCATGAATACTGGTACCTGCCCCTAAACCATGAATATTGGTCATCCATCATCTGACAGTAGCTGGAGCTCAGTAGCATTCCAGCCATGGTTCTTCTGTCTTTCACATGCTCTTTATGCTCAGGCCAAGAGTGGGTGGTGCAGCTACTTATGCTGGTTCTACACCAGCCAAGGACTCCCCAAAAGGCTAAATCATCAGCTGCTGAGATCTAGCCAAATTCTGAACCTTCTTTGCTGCTGGAGTGGTGCCAAGGAGCCAAAGTGAGGTAGACAACTGGGGCCACTCTAAATCTGTGTACATGAGCAGAGCTCCAAATACGCTGTTACGTAACTGTTGCCTGACACTGGCTCCGCTGCTTCTTAATTCTGGCTATTCTTACTATTCTATCAGGAAAGCTAATATCTGTTTTGAAACATGGGAGTGTCTTTATCTTCAATATTTTACTGTCCATAAATGTATTCAACATGGTCAGTGATAGGTTATGAAGAAATCATTTAAAAGTAAACCAACACAATGAGAATGGACAATAGAATTTTAAAGGATGTTTCAAAAAAGCTATAGAAAGGATATAATTATCTGCTAAATTCTGTCGGGTTTTGGAATAACATTTCTGGAACTATTTTGGTTTAATGCCCATTAAACTATTATATTTTATAAGACTTTTCTATATGGAGTGTTCTATTGATTTTGTGTTCCTTACCTCAAATATTTTAGATAGTGTAATATAGTAAGTTAGGCCCTTTTTAGACTCTTAAGCACATTACCTCTTACATTACATTTTATTTATAACCTTGTCTTTGCTGGCACAAAGGTAAATTTTTATAGTGCAATAACTAATGTGTGATAGTTATTTCTCTGTAAAATCCAAAGTGGAGACAAACCACTTCTAGTGTTACCACTTCTAGTGGTAGCTAGGTGAGGTCAGCACTATACTTCCATCCCCTCCCTCCCACCTGGGGATGACTAGTTTACTTCACAGTAATATAAAAGTGCCTAGTCTCCACTATGTGTTTATTGTGGGATAGCTAATATGTGTAAACACACTTTTTTTTTTGGTCAGGGAAGATGTAGCCTCACTTTCTGAAAGGACAGAGGAGCATTTCAGCTCACTTTCACTTCCCCCTCAGAGTACAGAGCTATCACTGCCATGCTGAGGGATCTGTCTACATCAGGGGTGGGCAAACTTTTTGGCCCAAGGGCCACATCTGGGTATGGAAATTGTATGACAGGCCATGAATGCTCACAAAATTAGGGGTTGGGGAGCAGAAGAGGGTGAGGGCTTCAGCTGTGGGTGCGGGCTCTGGGGTGGGCCAGAAATGAGGAGTTCAGGTGTGGGATGGGGCTCCAGGTTGGGGTACGGGTGGAGGGGGTTGAGGGCTCTGGGGTGGGTGCTCTGGGCTGGGACCAAGGGGTTCGGAGGGTGGGACGGGGATCAGGGCTGGGGCCTGGAGTTGGGGTACAGGAGAGGGTCAGGGGTGCAGGCTCCAGGCAGTGCTTACCTCAAGCAGGTCCTGGAAGCAGTGGTATGTCCCTCATCCGGCTCCTATGCAGAGGCATGCCCAGGCGGGTCTGCGCACTGCCCCATCTGCAGGCACCTCCCCTGCAGCTCCCATTGGCCACAGTTGCTAGCCAATGGGAGCTGTGGGGGCAGCGCTTGGGGCCAGAGCAGAGTGCAGAGCTCCCTGGCTACCCCTCTGCATAGGAGCTGGAGAGGGAACATGCTGCTGCTTCTGGGAGCTGCACGGAGCCATGTCATACATGGAGCAGGGCAAGCCCCGGACACCACTCCCTGGCAGGAGCTTGAGGGCTGTATTAAAACATTTGAAGGGCCAGATGCGGCACCCAGGCCATAGTTTGCCCACCCCTGGTCTAGCTGGAAGGGGGCAGGCGCTGGACAGCAGGGAGCTGTCATTCCTCATCTCACTTTGTTTTCATCCTTGTAGAAAAGGCTGACTTTCCTGTGTCTGTCAATTCACAAGTGGGAATGCGTGACTGTAGCTTCCAGACTCAGAGAAACTGAAGGGAAAAATGTTATCATTAGTGAAGAAACTTTATTTTACCTTTTCACCACCTAACCACACTACAAAAAGGTGAAGATCTTTTAGCATCATGGAAACAAGGATAGGACATTTTTACTGTGCATAATTTGTTTACCTTCAAACAATGGCAACAGTTACAGAAGTAGAAAGAAGAAAAATCTCACAGCCGCAGTAAGACTCCAGAACTCTGTTTTCAGGGGACAGAGGCCTAGGTACAGCTGAGGAACATACAAAAGTGAGCAATATCAGAGTACTGGGGCTAAGCTCAAACTGGTATGGAAGGGAAGAAAGAGCTTGATAGGGCTGTAGGAAGGGTTGCTTGATGGGTAGAAGAAGGAAGCAGTGGTGAACCTAACAAAACACCTGGACTGGTGTCATGGGAGACACCTCAGTACATCCCAGCAGCTGAGAAGAAACTTAGTGTAGTGTAGAGGTCTCAAGAGGGAAAGAATATGCCATTCAGCAGGGCTACAAAGAAGAAAATGCTTTGTGTGTCTGAAATTAAGACCAACCTGTTTGGTTGCACAGGAAAAGAAACTTTGCCCAAGCTAAAAAAAATATATGGATGGATGAAGGAGAGAAAAAGTACAATATACCAGGAGGAGAAGTCTGCTGGGGAGAAGAGGAGAAATGCATCAGAAGAAATGACTAGTGGACTAATGCTGTGGTGGTGAAGTGCCTGAATAGAATCCTGACTGGCTTGACGGTGAGTGCATAGATTTAGATTTAGGAATCTAAATAAGGATGTGGGAGCTTACCTTTAAGGCACTCACTATTTGGAAAACCTTGGCCATATTATCTCAATGAATTTTTCAAAAGGAACTCTTGGACCTTCAGTTAACACTACTTGCACTAACATCAGCCATGGGAATTTTTAATTAATTTAAAATGAAAATTATTTAAATTTCTAATTAGTCCATACATGAGGCTACACTTACCTATCTGACATAGCGATTTGTTCCAACATTGCAGAGCCAGTGTTTGTCTTCCAGTTTCCAGATATGGAAGTCCTCCTGAGATAAAAAAAATTACAGACACAATATTAACTGAGTACCTATTGCACACTTACATTTATTGTCAATAAACTGAACAGATATCTTCACCATCTGTCTTAAGTTGCTCTTATTTTCACACTACTATGATACCAATGGTTACCTCTGTTTCTCTCCTCCTGCTGCTTACCATATAACGTCCACACTGAAGAATTCAACTGATAACATAAGTCTCAGTAAAACATCATGCATACATTTTATAAAGTATGATAATGGCAGTTCCCCATGCCTTGTTGCCTGTTCACTTTCATAACTGTTGTGACAACTGTTGGTTAGTGGTGAGATCAGTAAGACTATTATGAAATTGCAGCTACCAGGGGTGAGTATGGATGCACCAACATTGTGAACTAATTCTAAATGCATAGCAAATAACAGGAGACAAAGAAAGCTTCACGTCCAGATATCAAATCCATCCCAAACTTTCATTTTAGCCAATTATAGAGTTAGGCCCTAACAGTGATATTCAGATGCATATTTTGAACCACTCCAAGGTTCAGGACTGTTCAGAGTCATTGTTCCAGTTTGACCCTAATCAAGATAGACTCTACCTGTGAAATCTGGATTTAGCTTCAGGCCCTGATTCTGGACCCTTCTCTAATTTAATGTAATTTAATTTATCTTTTATTCCTAATGATGTCATTTTAAAGCTCATTAACAAAAGCAATCATTTACCATCTCTCTTTTGGTGTCTATAATAGATCATCATCATCACCACTATATTTTATAAATGAGTACCTTTTACAACATTTTGGCTTTTTAAACCAACGATGATGAATAGTACAGAGAAGAGGAATGCACTCTGTAATTGTAAAGACTGTATTAGAAATGGGCAAAGGATACAAACAGTCTAAATTATGACCTTTTGTTTCCTGCTGGCAAAAGAACAGCAACACCTGTAATTTATGAGAGTGAATTACAGTGGCACTAGGCTTGTCTCCATCTTTCTATAAACCTAATTATGAGCTTGGGAAGAGGTATCAATCCACAGAGTAAAAGATTTTAAAATATATTAATTGAACAAACAGATGTACTAATTATGTATTAATCAGGGAATCAAGTCCTAGCACATTAGAGTGCATTACACTTGTGCCTATCATATATTTTCAGCTCATATCCATCTTTGTGAAGTTTGAAGAGAAGCAATGTCTTAAAAGAAACAAAGAATGAGAGATTAATATAACACTTTCTACTAGCTCAAGTATAAAAGGCTTTTACTCCCCTCCAGTTTGATGAAAAATCACTTGCATTTCTATTCTGGCCAGTGACTTCTCTCCATGAAGAGGTACATAAATTACCATACACTGTACTTGCAATGCTGATGTGGTGTTTTGATACTACAGTACAGATTATTACTTTAGACTGATGTGAACACTACACATTAGTTTTGTTGTTCTTTTGGTCAGAGAATTATGAATTCAATGTGTGTTGCTTTTGGAAAGAGAGGGTGGGGATTTAAGATTAGTTGGTACTTTTGTACATATCTGTATGTTTTCATTGTGCTCCACCCTTTTTAATTATATTTCCTTGAAGTCAGATGTAATGAATCCTGTACTGGTAGTTGTGTGTGTGTCATGAAATCTTTTGAGGAGCTGTGGTATTTGGAGTGATCCAACACTGCATTTTGTCTATAATCGCCACTGACAAATGTTAAACATCCCTTTTTTTGTGAGTCATGGATCCAGATTATACCACAATTTCCCACAGAATTACAACACAGAAGCTCTTAATAACACTTTTTAAACTACAAAAACAAATGTTTTGCTGGTATTTTCTGTGGTGGCTCTTTAAGTACTCTGTTTCTGTGTCATAGCAGAAAATGAGAACCAGCTGTAGAACAAGATACTCTGACAAAACTTATATGAATGCATATGAGGTGTTGTACAGTGATTTGGTAAATCGCCTGTTTTTCATGTTGCTTTAGAGTATATAGCAATAGATTAATATTTCTTCATAAGAATCTAGGGGAATAACAGCTAGGCTCACAGTGTTCAGACACAATTCCCTACCTTGGAGAAAATGGAGATTTTAAAAAAAGTCTGAGGAACATACCACCATTTTAATTCAGTTTTTGAGGTCTGTTTTCCTATTTGCATTTTCAGAGTAAAAAAAAAAGCGTTAAATGTGGTAAATAGCATGAGTGAGACTCCTAAGAGAATTCTGGTCTTCAGTCAATCCAACAAATCTAGGGCTCAGTGCTGTGAAGCACAGAGTGCTTTAAACTCCTATCAACTTCACTGTTGATGAGGTGCAACACCTCAAAGAAGGAGCAGCTCACCACCTTGTACTATTGAACCATCAAATTGCTCATACGGACTCTGCTTCTGCTGGTCCTGCAGTGGTTTGTGTCATAACCATTCAGCAGTTGTACCTTACTGCTAAAACTGTGCTCTTTCGGAGCCACCAGTTGAAAGATACTGATAAGGAGGTCCGATGGGTACAAGTTGTATCGGGCCACAGTTGTTTTCATATAGGGCTATGGTTGTTTTCAAATTCTTAAGCATCTACCTTAAAACTGGTAACTGTAGCTGAAGATTTTGTAAAAATGCTTAAAGCACTTTATTGACATTTTGCTGAAATTTTATTATAAGAATTATCTTCGGGAAGGATTTCCAAGAGACCCAGCTTTGGTCCCAGTGAGTATTTTCTGTTACAGAAGTTCATTTGCTATTTGTTTCTTTTTCCTGTGTTTTTGTATTCTTGCATAATTCAATACTTTGTGTGTTAATGCAGCATTTTCTGAAACAAATGGTAGAGTTGTGTTAATCTCAGTGTTTCTGGTTTGCCCAATAAAAATTAGGAGTTAGGCTGTACTTTAGCTCAAATATAGCAATAAATAAAAAAAATTAATGTACAAGAATTCCTTCACCTTTCCAAAAATATGGGAATCCCTATGTGCATACTACATATATTGTGTCCATTGCATCAACAACTGAATTATGGGTAACAAATTTATGTCTAGATCATGCAGTGACCCCTGGAAAGACAGAGCTGTGAGCACCCACTTCAAGCTCTACTGACATCAGAAGAGCTCTATGTACATCTGTCTAAAGGTCATTGCAAGATTGGGGCCTCAGTTATATCAGTTGCAGTTAGAATGAAATATTCTGTGCCATTAGTCAAGAGTTATACATTCAGGTCTCTCTGTGAATGAAAATGACCTAAAGTTGTCTCAAAGCTTTTTAATAATAAAATTGGGTCTTGTTGCTGAAGGGATTTAAAAAGTCACCTATAAAACAATCAGACCCCACTTCTTGTTGTTGGTTCCCTGAAACTATTTTGAGAAATTGCTGTGGAAGAGTTGACCCACATGGGAGTTGTAGGTAACCATTCTGCAATGTCCTAAGCATGTGTTTAATTACTCCCTTCTCTTTTCTCCCTCCAAAAAATAATTAGAAAGTACTTTGCCATCTTTTAAACCATTTGAAGTAAAGTCCATTTTGTCCTCTCCACAAGACCCCTTTTAATTTCCATTTTTTATAACCTCTGTATGCTTTCCATTCGAAATATCATTTATTTTATTCTCTCAGAGCATTTCCATTGTTATTTCTGTAACAGAGTTCAACAAAATGCATTATTAATATAAACATGAAACAGCTGAGATATTTTAACACTTAAAAGCTTTTGAAATAATTGAAAATGTCCATCAACAAATTTAAAAAAGGCTAAAATACCTTCCTCCCAGAAGTGCTGATAATAAGGGACTATTTAAAAAGAGGCATTAGACTTCAATCAAGTGAACTTTGGTGCTGCTTTGTAAATATTGAAATCAGAAAATAAAAGGAAATATTTTTTGGCTCACATGTATGCTTTGTAGTTACTGCCTATCTTTTGGATCCTGATGTCGTATTTGGAGTCTATGAAGGGTTCAGTGGTGGCGTAGGTTTGGGTAAGTGCTACCACACTGGCTATGTCCTGAAAATCGTAGTGGTTGTCTACCTTAACCTGTTGTCATAACACAAACAGCAGGAGGAAGAGAAAAACAACAAGAATAGTTAAGCATGTAGTGTAAAATGCAATTGCAAATGACTCCTGTGAGAAATATTACTTTTTATAGTGTCAGCTTACAAAACAAAGAATGGATAATTTATCTGATCTGTAAAAAAAGCTATAGTTGTCAAAACTAGAATATGGTAAAAATATTCCTGCAATAAGCTGTGTAATTTCTAGCCAGAAATGTAACCTTCACTGTTGTAGAAGGCAATCATCAAGTATCGACATTACATTTTGTTTGTTGGAAACCCTTTTAAAATACTGATGTTTATTTCTGTGTCACATAAACGATCTCTAGGAATAGTTCTTTATAGGTAATTTATTGTAGCATTTTGGCATTTTAGTTTTAAGGATGCAGTGAACAGTACTTCTGTGTGGGATGGATCAGTTATAATAAGAGGAAGGAAGGAAGGAAAGGAATACAAAAGCCCAACCAAACCAAACAAGAAAAACCTAATTGCATTATCTGCCCATGAATTTTGAAGTCTGTTTATACCATTGTGTGTCAAGACATCTCACCAGACTGGGAGATGTTTTTTAAAGGATTGAATTCTATAGTCTTAATCCAATATGGTTCAGCTCTTTCTGGCCTTCAGGAATCTTCATTAGAACCTGAAACACAAATTGTTGCTTATAGGACTTCATATTTAATTTTGAGATAAGTAAATACACCTACTGGGTATTTAGTATCTATGTTGTACTTTTAAATAAGGTGACAGGCATACTAATGAAGATTTTGAGGGATAATGTGAAAACTGAATGTGTGTAAAAGCATGTGTTGGGTGTACACAAACTTTACATCAATCTTGTTTTAAAAATGTTTTGATAGTCAGGAACCAGTCCTCCAAGGTCCTAAGTGTTCTGAACTGAACTGAGGCTCAATAAATGCTGAGGGAATACATCATCTGACAAAAATAGATCAATATCTTGAAGGATGAGTCCATAGTTTTTTAAGGTGTAACCCTGTATATCAGAAGAATGTGAGTGCAGTAACTTGCACAGTGGGGCATATCCTGCTCCAACTGAAATCTATGGGAATTTCACCACTGACTCAGTGGGAATTGGACCAAGCTCAATGTTAACTATAAGTGCCTGGATTCAAAGCCTGTAGCTTTGATGTCAAAGCAGCCCATTATATTATCACAACTTTAGCCATTTCCATCAACTTTTGGATTTAAACGAAAATGTTATCCAACAAACTGGAACATTTTATAGGCCAAATTTAATGGTGATGGTTCGGAATCTGTGTAAATACAGTACGTCCCTCAGCCCACTCTGCTTCCAGCAGCTCCCATTGGCCTGGAGCAGCAAACCGCGGCCACTGGGAGCCGCGATCGGCCAAACCTGCAGACGTGGCAGGTAAACAAACTGGCCTGGCCCGCCAGGGGCTTTCCCTGCACAAGCGGCGGAACAAGTTTGTATCTATCTATAGCAGTGGTTCCCAATGTACTAATGCCAAAGTCTTGAAAAAATGTTATGGTATAAACACTTAAGTGGGAGTTGCATGCATATATTTAAGAACAGTATTTGGCCACTATGGTGGAAAAATTATGAATATATGGAAAAAGTTAGATGGTGTAGAAAAAATCCCATTAAAGAACCAATGTAGGTGGGAGAGGAGGAATAATGGAGTTACTAAGATTAAAAAACCCTCATACAAAGAGGTGTTGATAAACTTTCCCCAAATCAACGTAGTAAGAACATCCAGGATGGTAAAGTAACAATGTGGAGAAGATAAAAAGGTTCCTGGTTTTGTTTTTTAAATTCAAGTATATTTTATAGACCTCTTAAAAAGAGAGATTGGTTGCTTAAGCCAATCAACTCCTAGTAAGGATGTTTAAGCAATTACGTTGTTCAGTCATGGGATATTTGTTTGTGTCCATAATTTTTGTAGTAGGTGAGGTTTCTTGTGTACAGGAGGCTCAGAGCTATGCAAAATGTTAAATATCAAGGAAATTAAATAATTTCCTTAACAAATCCGAAATGCAAAGATTGCACATTTATTGACTAAAATATTTTAAATGACAAAAATCAATTTTCTACTATTCAATGGCTGATATTTCATTCATAGAATTTTTGGAAATCCAAGGGGATAAGTGTCATTTGATGACACTCTGCCGTTGTTCAATCCTTTTTAATCTGAAGATCTCTTAGCACTTTGGAAATGTCTACCAATTGAGTACCTGCACCCATTGACATCAGTGGAAGCATAATTGAGCTATACAATCAAACCACCATTGTGAGATGTAAGTGATACAGAAATTGCTTCACCCACCAGTGAAATGCAGTTGCCTCTGGATTGAATGCAGCGAGTGTGTGCAACTCTACAGGACAGGAAATGAAGAAAAATACTGTATCCAATTGAAACTACTGTGGGAATTTAGGAAGCTGTAGGAGAATTTATTCACCAGATTCTCAGACCTGCAAATATTTACTTGTGCTTATAAACCTGACTTTTCAGGTAGTTCTGCTGCAGGCAACAGAATTATCATATAAGGCCCTGATTCAGGAAAGCATTTGAGCATGTGGTTAAGTCCCTCTCTCAAAGGTCAGAATTTAAGATGTCTGGGGATGTAAGCATATGCTTTAGTACTGTCCTGAATAGGGACCCAAGTAACGCTTTGCACAATCAGGACCCTGAGTTGGAATCTGGCCAGCACACAAGTTTTAACACCTACTGTGGAGAAGTTTATATATTTTAATATTTAGACAATTAAAATGTAGACTAGCACCAGAAAACCCCTATCATGTATATATAAATAGCACCTGCACCTTTCCCATGCCTGAATGAGCATGTCCAATCTTCACGACAACAGGAAACGTTGGCAGTGTTAACTAAGAGGGGAAGAAAAGAAAAACAATATTAATTTAACTGACCATTGACGTCATGAACATTTTAATATTCATGAAAATAACAACTTCTGAAGTAGCTGTTCAGGATTCATTAGAACTTTTTTCATCCTGGTTTAAACTTGCCTGCATATCTTCATCTGTCAAACTGACGTTTGCAAGAACATAATCGTTACTATGTTACACTACTCTCTGTCCCATGTAGCTTTAGTTTATACAACACAACAAAAAATGCAGTCAAACAGCTCTTCCCATGCAGATATTTTAGAAGTATCCATGGATTGCTCAGATATTTAACTTGAACCCAAGGGTTTGTTTAAACAGAGCTGGGCTACATTATGAATAACATGCCCGTACAACATCTTAGATAATTGCATAATCAAAAGCTACATTCCAATTTCAGAAGATAAAAAAAATTATCTGAAGAAGTTTGAAACTTCATTTATTGCAAAGCTCTGCTGAGAAAAAACTTCTTCATAATAAAGATACACCCACAACACTCTAACTCAGTTTAGGATTCCAAACACAGAGAAGACCTTTATCCTCACAGCATGTAGCATTAAAAACAACATTTGCCACTCTCCAGTTAGAACTTGATTTGGAGAGATGCTGAAAGATGTGTACCTTCCATTGATAACAGTCATTCTCATGTCTCTCAGCCTGCTCAGATTCAACGGCAGAAGATCTCCTCCAGGTGACTACAAATAGCTGGGAGGGTGGAGATTGGATTTTAATGGCACCCTCTGTACCTGTAAGTTGAATTTCTAACTTAAAACCCCAGGGTTAGCATCTGGGCTTCCCATTATATATTTGATTGGCAAGCCAGGTAATTTTTGGTGCTCATAAGGACAGTGATCTCAAAGCATGAGAAGAGTATGAGAGCCAAATCCTCTTTGTTAAAGAGGGCACTTCATCTCTCATGGATTTCAGTGCTCCATCACCAAAACTGGTTCGTACCATGCTCTGCATGTGTGTGTGTTTGAGGGGAGGAAGAGAGAAGACTCATATTTTCTCAGAACCCATCAAACCAAGGGAGAATAAAGCAAAATGCCAGAAATGAATAGTACACTTCTACACCACACCTTGCAGGGTGGATAAAAATAAATGATTTTAAAAAAACAAACATTTAAATTAAAAAAATCCATTTTTTAAAATCAGATCTTTTTGATAAAATGCATTTTGAGGAAAAAAACCCTATCTAAAGCTACATTATAGCTCAAAGATATCTCATCATGGAATAGGGATTATAAATTCTAATTCTATAGTAAGAGACAATGTATTCATGTAATGTTTAAGAAAAGTTTTGTAAATGAGTTCCAATAGTTCATAGATTAGGGACCCAATCTTATGGGGTTCCAGGGGCTTCTGTATAGATTATTTAGGTTAATCTTTTTATCTACTTTATGGAACTCATATGCTCAGTCTAGAAGATACCATCAGAGAAGCTTAGTTTTGCAGTTCTCAAACTGTGGATTTGTGCGTCCAGAGATAACATGCTTGTTAAGAGCAAAAATGTTTTAAAATAAATAAATAATATATAGATGTGAGAAATAACAGATCTCAACTCTATTGTCCCTCTGCAAATTTGTGTACACAGAGTCAATCCCTTACCTCTCTCTAAAAGTACAAAGTTTCAAAAAGTTGAATGAACAGAAGATTGTTGGGCGTGGAATAGATCTGGACAAGAAGAAGAAGTCTGGAGATAAATGTGAAGAAGGGAGGACAGGCAGTAGAAACAAAAGTGAAACTGTTTGAGCAGCATATTCCAAAAGTCTTGAGGTCTCTGAGTGTAGCCTTCATTGATTTGAGATCTATCATACAGTTCTCTCACAGAAGGGAAAACCTATAATGGCAGTAGGCTGTAAAAGAAACCCAATTTGGGAATATTTTAATGAAGTTCCTTTACCTGTGGATAAGACAGACATGCGTGCAAAATGCAAACAGTGCAACAAAGAAATGCAAGGCCTGGTTTTCCGAAACAACATCATGAGAAGTATTCCTTCTTAGCAGGAAGCTGCGTTGAAGATGATGAAAGGAACATGCCTGAACATGCAGGATCTTCAGGTTGGTAAACGTTTTTATTTCATACTTCTTTCTTAAGGACTGCCTGTCTTCCTTCTGGACTGTTCTTGAATTCTCATGTTTGAGCAAAAAATATAGTTGTTACTCTATGGTACTATCATTTTAGTTGCAGTTGTGATACAAAATAAATAGGTGAAATAGGCAGATATTTCTTTTACAATTTTACCTTTAAAGTAGTACTGAGTGTCAGTGAATGCAATGAGTAATACTAAATGAGCATTATGGTAATAATAATTAAATAACTGCATTGACTTATTTTGTTTAGGAGAATCCATCAACAACATACAGGATTCTGAGGACTATCCACCTTCAAGATCACCATCATTTTCTATAGTTTCAGAGTTATCTGCCAATGATAGTGTTTCAGTCACATCACGTTTGTCACATAGCCACAGTATATCACCTGTAGCAAAAAGGAAAAAAAAATCTCCATCATCCAGAAACAACCATAGATAAATTTGTGATAAGAATCAGCAGATTACAAAAAGAGGTAATTGAGGAAAAAATTGCCCGGTTTGTTTAAGCAACAAACTCTCCTTTCCGTATGGTTGAGAACCCACACTTCATTAACATGGTTCAGTCATTAAGACCAGGATACAGTCCACCCAATAGAGCAAATGTCTCAGGCAAATTGCTGGATAAAGTGTATGAAAGAGAAATTGAGCAGTGTCCAAAAGGTCTAGAGGTTGAAATTGTTAACCTGAGTCTTGACAGGTTGAGCAATGTCCACAATGATCCTGTTGTATGTGCTTGTGTGACAACAGAAGAAGGGAATGTCTTCCTTACAGAAACAACTGAGACACCAGAAAATGCACACATAGCAGAATACTTACAAGAAGTAGCAGTAAAAGCAATAACAAACTGTGGAAAAAAAATCAAATGTCTAGTACGCAGTTTGGTCACAGAAAATGCTGCAAATGTATCCAAGATGAGAAGAAATTATTTAGAAGAGAGTCCCAAGCTAATAACATACGGTTGCAGTGCTCATTTGATGCACCTCCTAGCCAAAGACTTCAGTGTTCCAGAAATAAAGGCTAATGTTGCTGAAATTGCAAAATACTTCCGTAACAACCACTTTGGAGCAGCTACTCTGAAAAAAGTGGGAGGAATCAAGCTAACTGTCTCACAAGACGTACACTGGAACTCAGGAGTGGACTGTTTTGAGCACTATATCAAGAACTGGCCTAATCTGATGATAGTTTGTGAACAAAATCGTGAAAAAAATAGATGGGCACTGTCACAGCCAAAGTTCTCAACATTGGGCTTAAAAGAAATGTTGAACACATGCCAAGTACCCTGAAGCCTATTTCTGTAGCCTTGAACAAAATGCAGGGAAATAGCTGTTTTATTGTTGATGTTCTTGAAATTTGGAAGGAACTGAGTGAGATCTTAAAAAGAGAAATATGCAATGACAGAGTTAAATTACAGGCATTAAAAACCGAATGAGACAAGCACTATCTCCAGCTCATTTTCTTGCAAATATTCTCAATACTCGGTACCAGGGTCAAACCTTAACTGCTGAAGAAGAGGAGTTGGCTATGACATGGACATCCAGCAATCATCCCTCCATAATGCCAACTATAATAAACTTCAGAGTTAAGGGTGAACCAGTCAAGAAATATAGGTTTGCTGACTTTTAAAGAAAGTCACACGAGTGAACTAGTGGAAGTCACTTAAGCACTTGGATTCAGAGACTGTTGAAGTGATAATCTCACTTTTAACAGCAGTAGCTTCTTCTGCCAGTGTAGAAAGAATATTTTCTTCCTTTGGACTAATTCATTTCAAACTGAGAAATCGTTTGGAACCTGAAAAAGCAGGAAAGCTTGTTTTTCTTTTCCAGATGATGAACAAACAGGAAAACGAAGGTGAAGACGACTGAGTTAGCTGCAGAAGCCAATATTTTAAGTTTCTCATTTGACCTGGCTGACATCATTGATTTAATTTTTGTTTTTTTTTTTAAATATTTCATTTAACTATTTTAGTTAAAAACAATTTTAACAAAAACAAACCTGATTTTAAAAAACTTGAATGTTTAACTAAATTCAGAAATTCATATGCTTGTTTTGTTAAAATATTATATGTTTGTGGTTGAAGAAAAAAATCCAGAATACATAATGTTGTAGTTTTAGTTAAATAAAACAATTTAAAATGTCTGTCTGGTGATGTTCTCCTTCAAATACAGCATGGCAAGAAAATCCTCCAAATATTAATTATTAACCTGTTGAATTGGAGATAGTTACCTCCCAATGCTTTCATAAATATCTGCTTCAATTACCTTTAGTAAATGAAATAACCAAACAATCATTCATTTTCTGATATAGCTGTAAAACTAATCTGAAAAGTTTTCAAAATAAATCATTTGAAAATGTATATTGTGTACCTTCTAAAAATGAATCCTACATCTCTCTCTGAGTTGTGAAGAATATGTGTTAAGGTTATAACAACCAGCAAGAATGTACTTTTATGTAGAAATCCATGATTAAATCAAGTCTTCCTGACTAGTGATTTAAATCAATTTGATTTAAATCAAATCCACACTGATATCTTGTAGAATTTAATGGGGAATTTTAGGCATCCCTTTTTACAGTATAATTGGAACCTTTAATAACTACAGTTGTAACCCATTCATTAATTTTCTTCTTTATAAAATCCTTAGAAGCTTTGTTGAGCGGCTTAGTAGATCTGTTAGAATTGCACAACTTTGCAATCAGTATTGCTCCTCAATAACACATCTGAGTCAATGCTGCTCCAACTGATTTTTCTATATTCCTAAAAAACAAACAAACAAAAATCCCTACAGTTGTTTTTGTAGGAAGTTGCATAATAGAGTTTCTTTTTTATTTATCTTTTCCCCCCAAAGCAAATGTTGACTATGATAATAGAAAGAAAACATGAACTGAAGG